GGGAGAAAGGGGAGGGGGCATTTTCAAAAGAAAAAGATGTTCAGAAGCCCTAAACCTCTCTGAAAATCCTGACATCGACTTTGATTCTGCAGAGGCAAAGTTTCCCCCACCAAAAAGCTATCAGCTGCAGACAGCAACCCAGATGTGCAAATATTAACAGTACACACGGCTTTACTGCCGCTGGATCTGGACACGCAAGAAAACCAGAATCACACCAAGCTCCTGATCTGTTTTAACCGTACACTCAGACCCTGGTTCTCTGACATCTCTCCAAGCATCTCAAGGGGATGCAGCCTGGTTTCACCCCAGTGTTTCTGAATTTCAGCACAAAAGCAAGGAGAAGCTCTTCAAGGGAAGGTTTAAAGCAAACTCTGTGAACAGCACCTTGCACGTACTTACCCCGGGCTTTTCAGTTTTCCTTTTGTGTGCTTTTTCAAGGCTCAGAAGCTCACATTTTGCTTTCAAACACAAATCCCACAGACTGTGATTTCAAGATGACTGCTTCAGGAAAGGGGGGAGGAGAGTCCTACCGGGCTGTTTTTCATGGCTGACCGAGCAAGAATCTCCTGCTGCAGAGATGAAGGCCCCCTTGGAGAATATCTCTCCAGGTAGACAGCAGGTAATTGATCCTGCTCATCTGAACAACATCTTGTCATTTTTCAAACACTTTGAGGAAAGAAGGTTAATATCTTTGGTGCCAGGAGTCTGGAGAATACGCAAAATCACTACCACGGCAGGGTAGGAAGAGCAGCTCTCATCCTTGTACATCCAGCTGGCAAAACACTGAAATAAGAGACCTAGACCAGATACACTGGTGCTTAACTGGTGCACAAGTAAGTGCCCTCTGCATTCATTGCTGTATTTCAGCAAAATCCAAAAAAAGGGGTCTTTGCAACCTCCTCAACTGATGCAGAATCATTCAAGTGGCCTCCAGTTGTGTTCAGGGCTGCATCGCATCTCGAACCTGTCATTGCAAAGCCAAACAATTCACACCTTGAAAAACAGCAAGGGCTAAGCTAGCTATGGGGCGGGCACAGCTCACCCCATCCCTATGAAAAGGAGGGCACTAAACACCGTCTCGCTCTCTTCTTTCTTGCGGAGAGAGTGGCAGAGCCCTTCCCTCTAACAAAGCAGGTCTTTCAAACAGAAAGGACACGGTCCCATCAAAGGTAGGTCAAGTCTTTGGCACAAACCACTCAACAGTGCCTTAGATCACGCGGCAGATGTAGCATACAAAATTAACCATGTTTGCTCGGAGCCTGCATTCGCAGGTGAACCAAAGGGACCCGAGCAGACGGGTAACAGAGCACGGCGAGGCAGCTAAATAGGACTTAAAAGCTTTTGAAGCTGCAAACAGTGGAATGAACTGGGGCATGAAATTAATTTTAACTGTACTGAATAGGAGACAGGCCATAAAACTCCATGAAAATAAGAGACCGGTAACATTTTAGTAAGAGCAGAAATTCTCCCCGTAACTCCCCAGTCAGCTCTATTAGCATAAGTGACTCATCCCAGCTGAAAATCAAAACAAACAAGCAAGAAGAATTCAACTAGCATTGCAAGGCGGAGAGTATCGCTGTAGAGAAATCGAGGAATCCTGGCTTTGTGATATTCAAATGCCTTCTCACTGACACTTGCAAATGTTCAACTGAGAAAAAAAAAAAATCCACTGAAGGAAATGTTTAAAAAAAAAAAAAAAAAAAAAAAAGAAAAAAAGGCATTTGTGAATGCGAACAGCCTGGCCATCCTCCTGTGCCCAGGTATGAGGCTCCAAACCAGCTTCATGAAGAAGCAGTTTCTATTTAGCACAACTGAGCCAGCACGCAGCAAGGTTTTGTGGACAGCATCACAACCGAGATGATTTTCCAGCAACGTACTAAAAGGCTTTTTCATCATGACTAAATCTGCAAAGGGTGAAGTTGTTCAGAAGAATCTACATCCAATTACACCCCAGCAAAATATCACCTGTGCTGTCCTGGCAGTTGTCCTTCTGGTGCTCTAATGCATCTGGGTGATGCCTCCCAGCACCCTGAGGATTTACTGCATCTCCTACTGAAACAGCCACCTCCAGGCTATGGAGCAGAAACTGCTCTTCCAGAGCAGAAAGGCACAAACACAACTAAGAACAAGGAAAGAACAAAAAATATTTCCAAAAGCAGCCTGCGGAGAAGTTGTAGGTAGGATTTGAACATCCAGGTATGACCTGGTCAGAACAAACAAGTTGAATACCTTTTCCTCGTGCTCATAGGACCCTGAACCATTTGCTTAAAAGAATCACCAAAATCTTGGTTTTCCATCTGCCTCCCAAGCATCCAGATGTCCTTTAACATGCAACAGGGACACAAGAGGCGGGAGGACAGGACACAGTGATTTCTCTGCACATCCATCAACAAGTAGCAAAGTGCAATTCAGACCCCAGGACCTCTGAGACAGGCCCACGGTCAAAAGCAGCAGCAAACATCTGGAGCCCAGATCGCTCAAGGGCCTTTCGCTGACCTAGATCTGTGAATGCGCTCGGCTGGCATCAATAACCAGCTGAAGGCAGCTAATTGCGAGGTTTCTGGAAGGAGGAGACGAAGGCTTTTCATTAAAACATGTGGTTTCCTTCCCATATTTTTGCAGCACTAATCACAGTGAACATTAACCCCAAGTCTGCCTGCTCCAACCTCGCCTTGGTCTATCACCGCCACCGCTACAGCCGCACGAGGGGGTTGGGGTAACCCTATGGGTGCCTACAAAGGAAGGGATGGAGGAGCGCCTGCTCTGGCAACATGGGAAGCTGGTCTGACAGGGCTTCACGTCTCATTACCGGTTTCACTCCTGACCTGCGCAGTCAGTTCCCTCTTGTTTGTGGCCGCCTTTCAGGCAGCAACTAAGGACAGGAAATCATTTAAATCACAGGAAAATGTGATCACAAACCCACAAATACTGGCAGGGGAATGGAGAGTGGGTGAAGTATCTGGATCTGCTTTTAACTCATTCTTTCAAGGACAAAACTAGCGATCAGCTTGAAACTGCCACCCTCAGCGCCCAGCTTGTGGCGGCCATGGAGCCCTTCCAGAGAAGAGGGGGGTCAGAGGACCCCGAGAGACAGTGACTGCCACGTGCCATCAGTGCCAGCCGTGAGCCACAACCAGCAACGCGGAGAGCATGTCCTTGGGCCAGCACCTGATGCTGTGCCGAACAGGGCGGTTTGTCAGCCGTCAACCCCCTCAACTGACAGCAAAAGAGACTTCCAAAAGCAGGGGGCTGCAAGCCCGCAGGGAGCAGGATGCCAGGCATCATCGCCTCTCCCAAAAGTAAAATTGCCACCTACTTCATTAGTCCTGTGTTCAATCAGTGAGCTGGAGGGGATGGCTCTGGTTTTGTTCACTTTTTTTTACATCTTTGTAGCTAGAAAAGCACACCTGAGCAGTGTGGGCTGGGGGAGATGGCCAGCGTGGAGGGCACACGTCTGCATCCTCCACGCCCCTCAGAGCTGCCTTCACAGGCAGCGTGTCCACCAAAGATAACGTCCAGAGTGCTGAAATGACAGGAGACCCAGACCAAAGCACACCAGTGTCAAAATCCTAGGGGCTCCTTGCCCAAGACTTGTGACACTATCTGACAAGCTTTACCAACCAGGGGTAAATGCATCGCCAACACAAAGCAAACGTCTGGAAGCAAAAAACAGTTGGGATTTCTCAGCTGCAGGAAAAGCAATCTTTTCCCACTGACTTCTCCATCTGCTTTCCCTCCCTGCAGAATTCTTCTCCATCCTCCCCTCCCACCACCAAGAGATGATGCTCCCCTACCTCAGAGGTGCATTGGCATTGGGTTTATTCCCAGCATCCAGGCCAACGCCAAGTACCCAAAATGACCCTCGCATTTAGGGTGCCAGTGCCCAGCACTGGCACCAAGGCTGCTCGGGGACCCACTGAACCCTGTGGGAACCAAAGGGCTCAGGGTGACTCCGGGGTTTGAGTGTTTTACAGTGAGTGCATTGCCTGGATGACACAGAAAGCCTTGGCTGGAGCAGCAACCGAGCGGGGCCAGGCAGCGAGCAGCAGGGTCACGTCACCAAACCCTCCTCCTCCCCACAGCCCTTGGGGACAGACAGCACCTAAACACTGCCAGTGCCTACCACATTCCCCTGCAGCAGAGCAGAACAGCACAGGTACGTGAATTCTCTTCCTATAATCCCCCTGACATCAATTAATGTATGGCTGAAAAGCAAAAGATTATTAACTTTTGTTAATAGATTATTAAAGATGATTATCGCCAGCTGACCGAGTCCGTACCAAAATAGACATGCTGCAGGCAGCTCAGAGCAATCATCATCAGTTCATTCAAGGCAGATAAAAGTTTCAGATCTGGTTTGACTATTTAAATTTCCAACAATAATCACAATTATCACTATTCTCATTATCTGTTATATTTCTTCTATGTTCAGGAAGTCACTGTGGTTATTAAATGCAGGTTGATGATTAAATCGTGTATTGAGGTGATAAGTCAAATTAGATGATTGCTAAGTCTCGGTAAGTATCTTTGAAATAACCAGTTGTTATTAGATATTCAAGAGGTGCTTCATGAAAATCTAATTGTAATTGCAACTTTTCATTTTACCTCATCTTTCCCGCATGCAAACACACACACACACGCTGGCAGCTGATTTCATACTTCAAGATGTGTGAAACACAGAAGAAAGCACCCAAGGTGAGTGCTGTCTGGGAAAACGCCAGGAGACCGGCCAGGACACGCACCCACCTCCCCGAGAAAAAAATCAAACAGCACCTTCAGCATCTGTCTGAAGCTACGGCTCCCAACTGGGGGGCTCCTGGAGCTGCTCCTAGAGCTGGTTTGTGCTTCAGGCACTCAGAGTGGCGGAACACCGGCTCTGAAAGGATGCCCGCGATTCCTCGGCAGCTTTAATCAGGGTGTGGGAACAAGCCAGCATCCCTCCCGCTCCAGCCTGATGCCCAACCTGACATTTAAAATAGCCTTCATTGCCATGTACTTACATTTTAATGTTTTCATGGTATTGCCTGGTGTCTGAAGGCTGGTTGTATAATGGCTGAAATAAATAAGAAAAATGAAGGCATAAATGGTACAGTCTGACATTTAGAAACTTAAACCTGTCAGAAGCGCTGCCGCCTCGGTGCAGGTTCCCGTCTCCCCAAGCTGTGCCAGCCCCAGCGCC